CAGTCATCAGCACTATGTATCTCCAAAATGTTTGTTCCTACAGACAAGAGCTCTACCTATTAAGAATTCCCTGTTCCCTGCTTCCCATGAAATCACAGAATATTTGAAATTAAAAAGATATATATTAGGCCAGGTGTGGTGGCTCACACCTGTAATCCCAGCACTTTGGGAGGCTGAGGTGGGTGGATCACTTGAGGTCAGGAGTTTGAGACCAGCCTGACCCACATGGAGAAACCCCATCTCTATTAAAAATACAAAAATAAATTAGCTGTATGCCTGTCATCCCAGCTATTTCGGAGGCTGAGGCAGGAGAATTGCTTGAACCTGGGAGGTGGAGGTTGCAGTGAGCTGAGATTGCACCACTGCATTCCAGCCTGGCAACAGAACGAGGCTCCATCTTAAAAAAACATATATATGTGTGTGTGTGTTTAAAACCTAAGATACGGTAAATATAGGACAAAAGGCAATAAAATGCAGAAATCATAGTAATTATGGATAACTTGTCAGAAATAATCATAAGACAATATTAAGTAGGGGTTGTCCTAAGCTTTTTTTCCCCTTATCTGGAGCAAAATAAAACAGTAGAAAGCATTTTGCCTTTAGGTGGCAACATTCAGACCCCTTTATGCTCTGTTATATACTCTGTTCTTTTGTTTCTTGAGACGGCCAGGCTCAGTTGCCCAGGCTGGAGTGCAGTGGCATGATCTTGGCTCACTGCAACCTCCACCTCCCAGGTTCAAGCAATTCTTGTGCTTTAGCCTTTCCAGTAGCTGGGATTACAAACATGTGCCACCACGCCTGGCTAAGTTTTTTTTTTTATTTTTTTTTATTTTTTTTTAATTTTTAGTAGTGATGGGGTTTCCCTATGTTGGCCAGGCTGGTCTCGAACTCCTGGTCTCAAATGATCTACCCACTTTGGCCTCCTAAAGTGCTGGGATTACAGGCATGAGCCCCTGCACCCAGCCTATACTCTGTTCTTGATTTCATTTGGGAAAACCTATGTTGGCAAGAATGAGAAGGAATTCATTCAGGGCGGCCAGAAGAGGAATGTGCTGGATTCAGAGCAAGCTTTTCACTGGAGAACTATGGAAGAAATCCCTGCCTTCACTCAATCACCAGACAAGCTTGGGTGCAAGTCGGGGCCCCACCACGGAACGGCTCCATGGCCTGAGCAGCTCATGTCGCTTCTCCCTGCTTGGGTTTCTCATTGGTTGGACAGGGACAGTGGCACGTAGGCTGGCAAGTGCTCGCAAAGGCCTGTCGGGAAGAGTGAAGACCGAGTCACTGTCAACAAGTGAAAAATTGCTGTTTCCTGCACACAAATTAACTTCCCTTTGTGAAATGCCCCAGGGCACTTGGTTGGAAGATCCCTGCGCTTCCTACACCAGCCCTGGCATCGGGAGTACCTGCCTGTCTAGGCTGGCACCGGCGGACTTTCCTCCACCCACCCGCCCTGTGCTCATCTCTGCCCTCAGGTGTGGGGAGACTGGGTGAGGCGTTTACGAGTGGGTGCTTCTCTCCCAGGGGAAATGGACTGCCCAGCTTCCTAGTTCCTGGGGAGAAATCGTCATTGTCCTCCTTCATCTCTTCCCGGAGTCATTAACCCTGGTGCCAGGAAGTGCCCTGTGTGTTAGGATTTCACTGTCTGGATTTTACCGCTCCGAGAAAATCACTCTTAGAGTGTACCTCCAGGGTGAGCCTGCCTGTGAGGGACTTGGAAATAGTACAGGACTCCTCATAGCCCAGTGGGGTTGAGGGGGTGTATGTACAATTGATTCAGCTTTCCCAGAGGGCAATTTGGAAAATATCAAAACCTAAAATATGCACACCCTTTGATTCAGAAATCCCACTTGTGCTAATCTATCTTGAAAAAAATCAGTATGACTATATAAACCTCCACAGAAAAGATGTTTATGAAGCATTGTTTATTAAAAAAATGAAAAATGTTCATCTTCAGGGGAATGGTGACATAAATTGCAGTCGTTGCACTGGATGGAATAGAGTGCAGCTGTTAAGAGTAAGGTACTGATGGCAAAAGATGTATATGAGACGTTTTTATATTGAAAGAGCAAGCAAAAGAATAAGCTATAAAACCATTTTTAAAAAGTACTGTGCGAGACAGGTTGATCACCTGAGATCAGGAGTTTGAGACCAGCCTGACCAATACAGTGAAACCCTGTCTACTAAAAATACAAAAATTAGCTGGGTGTGGTGGTGTGCACCTGTAATCCCAGCTACTTGGGAGGCTGAGACAAGAGAATTGCTTGAACCCGGGAGGCAGAGGTTGCAGTGAGCCGAGATCGCGCCTTTGCACTCCAGGCTGAGTGACAGAGCAAGACTCCGTCTCAAAAAAAAAAAAAAAAAAAAAAAGCACTCTATGCACGTGTATAAGACTTGAAGTTGTTAGATGAGTAAATTAGAAATAGGGTGGGATTAGACAAGATGTCACTGCCACTTCACTTTCTTGTCCCCTACGGCCTCCTCTAGGACAATTCATCCTTCCTTGATTTTCCTGGCCAAAGTAACATGCAAGCCATCCCATTTTTTTCTTTTCTCCTTCCCGTCTTTCCTTTTCTCCTTCCCTTCTTTCCTTTTCTCCTTCCCTTCTTTCCTTTTCCTCCCTTCCCTCCTCCATCCCTGCCCTTCCTCACTCTTTCTTTCTTTCACTTTGTTTTTTAGAGTAACGGTTTTAGGTTCACAGCAAAATTGAGCAGAAGGTGCAGAGAGACGGAGTTCCAATACACCTCCTATCCCCACACACGTTCAGCCTCCCCATCCATCAGCATCGCCTACAGAATGGTGCATTTGTTAAAATGAGACACATTATTAACACCCAGAGTTCATAGTTTTCATTAGGCTTCACTGTTGGTGTTGTAATGCATCCACTATTACAGGATCATATGGAATAGTTTCACTGCCCTAAAAAACCCTCCATGCTCCGCCTATTCTTCCCTCCCCCGAGCCCCTGGCAACCACTGAGCTTTTTTTTGTTTGTTTGTTTTTGTTTTTGTCTTTTTTGAGACGGAGTCTAGCACTGTCGCCCAGGCTGGAGTGCAGTGGCACGATCTCCACTCACTGCAAGCTCTGCCTCCTGGGTTTAAGCAATTCTCCTTCCTCAGCCTCCTGAGTAGCTTGGATTACAGGCATGCACCACCACGCCTGGCTAATTTTGCATTTTTAGTAGAGACAGGATTTCTCCATGTTGGTCAGGCTGGTCTTTAACTCCCAGCCTCAGGTGATCTGCCCACCTTAGCCTCCCAAAATGCTAGGATTACAGGTGTGAGCCACCGCACCCAGCCAAAAGAGCATTTCTAACTAAAATATTTGTAATTCAGAATTAGTTTACCCCCAAAATCAGTATTGTATATAGTATTTAGATTCTTAGATTAGCCAACAAAATTCTGCCTCAAACATTTCTCCCATAAATTAAAATACTAGTAATTTAATGAACCAAATCAAAACTGAGACTCTAATCCTACCTTCTTGAGTGCTGGTGTTTGCGGGAAAGCACTCATTCATTCAGTAACTGTATAGAGTGCTCACTCAGCCTGGCTCTGCTGATGTCTTTTTCTTCAATAGAAGCCTTTGCCCCCCACCACCCCCGGAAAAAATACCATCTGTTTGTGGCCAGGTGAGGGTGAGGTTTGGAGGGTAAGGAATGGAAGGGTTGCTGGAGCCTGTCTGCAGATCCTGCGTGGATTAGGAGCATCTGGAGTAACCGCCTTTTGTCCCAGCGGTGGGTGGCAGCTGCAGGGCTCAGGTGGTATCTGTGGAGGGCCTGCTGCCCAGTCCCAGGCCAGGAGTGCCTCATGGCTCAGCTTCAGTGCTTGGCATGGCCGACAGTGAATGATCTGGGCCTCCTGAGGGCAGGCAGGCTGCTCTAGTGTGGAGCCACGTGTTTTGCAGAAAGTGCTTTAAGGTGTAAAATGAGAATTTCCATGGAAGAAAAGGGGCACTTGGACCTGGATCCTGGCTGAGAGATTTCCTGGGTGAGCGGAGAGTTTGAAAGTGGTGACACAGAACTGGGTCCATTGAATGAAGTAATGTGATGGAAGCTGTTTCCCCCCACCCTGACTTTGGGACTGGCTTTGTTTTGTCATGGAGCACACCTGGTTTGGCAACGTCCTACTCAAGCAGTGAGGCCTGACAGGACATGACCGAAGTTTGGCTGTGTTTGGGGGTGTGGCACAAGGACAAACTACTCTGATCCCCAGCAGTGAGGCAGGGACAGGAGCAGAATCCCGGTCACGTCCTGCCCTGAGCCAGGCTTGCCGGCCCTGGCAGCCTCGCCTGCTGTTACATAAACAGCAGGCCATGAATTCCAGGCATCAGCACCCCGCTGCGTCCAGAGGGCTCACTCCTGCAGCTTCCCTTTCCAAAGCAGCATTATTTAAAAGTTTCTTTCTCCAAGAAAATGGTATTTCCATATTTGTGATCAGAGCAGTTAAGCGATTACTGAGGCATTGTTTCCCTCCAAACATGGAGTGTTCTCAGTTTGGGGTCATTTTGTTTTTGTTTTTGATTGAATGATAGTGATTTTTTTTTTTTTAAATTTAAGAAACAGGGGCCTTGCTCTGTCCCCCAGGCTGGAATGGGTAGCACAATCATGGCTCACAGCAGCCTTGAATCCCTGGGCTCAACCAATCCTCCCACCTCAGCCTCTTGAGTAGCTGCAGCTACAGGCCTGTGCCATCATGCCTGGCTACTTTTAATTTGTTTTTGTAGAGATGGAGTCTCACCATCTGCCCAGGCTGGTCTGGAACTCATGGCCTCAGGTGATCCTTGTTCCCTAGCCTCCCAGAGTGCTAGCATTACAGGCATGATCCACTGTGCCCGGCCCATCCTTAGTTTTCAACATAGCTATCAGAAAAGCAGTCAGCATGACCCAGTCGAAAGCTGATCCCTACTCTGAGAAAGAAAGGCTCACATTGGAAGTCTGCACTCCTTAGTTAGAACCAAGACTCGCTTTTTCTGGTGACAGGAAATTCTCTTTATTGCAGATCTCTCAAAGGCCTTGGTTCTGACCGAAATCGGCCCCAAGCGTGACCCTGCGACCCTGAAACTGTTCCTGAGTAACATGGAGCGGCTGCTGCACGCCAAGGCACATGGGTAGGAGGCTCAGCTCGGGGAACACCCTGCAGCCAGAGGAGGAAGAACGGAACACGGGCTTGCTAAAACTCCCCTGGGATTTGAGGAGGAAGCCTGGCGTGGAAGGAGTAGGAGGGGCACATGAACACCAGACTCAGGGAAGCCCTGTGAGGGGCCCGCCTGCAGTAGATGCTCCTATAGCCAGGTCTCTGGAGATGGCTGGGCACCTGTGTCCCTTCTGATCAGAATCCATGGAACTGACCTCATGCTGCTCAACCAGTGAATGGTGCGAGTACTTAGAGTCCTTCCCAAGTGGGCCTGGTGTCAGACAGGTTTATCAAAGCCCAGGGAATCCTCTGTCTCTTGCCTTCCCAGCAGGGCTGTGCTGTGACCCCTAGCCACGTGAGGCCGCTGACACTTCATGTCACGTTCAGTAGAGGAGGAGTCACTTCCCTGGTTGCTGCATCTCAGGTGCTCAGTAGCTCGGTCAGCTGGGAGCTGTCACTGCACAGAGCATTTGCGTCTGGCAGAGGCCTGTTGGTCGGTGGCTCCGGGCCCTACATTCGGCCTCCAGAGCTTTGGCGGAAGTGCTGTGCTTCATTTTTCACTGGGGAACATGCCCAGCCAGGGTACCTGGCTGAAGTCAGCTTGCATACCACAGAAAAGGCTCCACTCCCGCCTGCACTGTCCTCCCCTCCCTCTCTCCAGGGTCCGAGTGATTGGAAGCTCCACATTGGCACTCTGCCACCTGGCCTCGGGAGCCGCGGATGCCTATTACCAGTTCGGTCTGCACTGCTGGGACCTGGCGGCTGCCACAGTCATCATCAGGGAAGCAGGCGGCATCGTGATAGACACTTCGGGTGAGCTCTCCTGTCCCTGAAATGCAGCGACAGAAATGACTGAGAGACACTGTGGGTGGGGTACTTCCTGAGGTCCCCACCAACTGAATTTCCCACTTTCCCCAGAGTTCCTGTTTTTTTTGAGACGGAGTCTTGCTGTCACCCAGGATGGAGTGCAGTGGTACGATCTCAGCTCACTGCAGCCATCCACCTCACGGGTTCAAGCAATTCTCCTGCCTCAGCCTCCCGAGTAGCTGCAATTACAGGTGTGTGCCACCATGCCTGGCTAATTTTTTTTTTTTTTTTGAGACGGAGTCTTTGCTCTGTCACCCAGGCTGGAGTGCAGTGGCGCGATCTCGGCTCACTGCAAGCCCCACCTCCTGGGTTCACGCCATTCTCCTGCCTCAGCCTCCTGAGTAGCTGGGACTACAGGCGCCCGCTACCACGACCGGCTAATTTTTTTTATTTGTAGTAGAGACGGGGTTTCACTGTGTTAGCCAGGATGGTCTCAATCTCCTGACCTTGTGATCCGCCCGTCTCGGCCTCCCAAAGTGCTGGGATTACAGGCGTGAGCCACCGCGCCCGGCCTGCCTGGCTAATTTTTGTATTTTTAGTACAGCAGGGTTTCATCATGTTGGCCAGGCTGGTCTCAAACTCCTGATTTTGTGGTCTTGACCTCCCAAAGTGCTGGGATTACAGGCATGAGCCACCATGCCCGGCCACAGTTTCTGTTGTTGAGAGCATGTGAGGGTGCCATGATGGCAGTGGCCTGCACCAGCTTGGCCTCCTTCCTGCCATCCCTTGCCACCATAGGATCAGGATTTCTTCACCAGATGGCAGCAGCACTGCCACTTCCCATTTACACGCCACTGACAGTTTTCTTTTTTTTTTGAGACAGAGTCTCGCTCTGTTGCCCTGGCTTGAGTGCAGTGACACGATCTCGGCTCACTGCAACCTTTGCCTCCCGGGTTCAAGTGATTCGCCTGCCTCAGCCTCCCAAGTAGCTGGGATCACAGGCACACGCCACCAGGCCCGGGTAATTTTTGTAGTTTTAGTACAGGTGGGGTTTCACCATGTTGGTCAGGCTAGTCTCGAACTCCTGACCTCAAGTGATCCACCCACCTTGGCCTCCCAAAGTGCTGGGATTACAGGCCTGAGCCACCGCACCCGGCCCAATGACAGTTTTCTAAGGGCTCCCACAAGAATGCAATGAGCTGACCAGAGCAGGTGTTGTGCTCCCTGAATTTCTGAGGTTAGTTGCTTCTGCAAGGCCCCATAGCTTGGCGTTGGGTCAGCACCAGCACAGAGCATGAGCGTCCGGTTGGGTTTTGGAGAATGACGGTCACTTGAGGCCCAGTGACTGAGCACCTGGGGGTATATGTGAGCCCCTAACTCTGTGCTGCCTGCTACATCCACGTAGTTTCAGGCTGACCTTGCATCTAATGTTCATTCAGGAATAACAATCAGAAGCCAGGTGAATCCAACAGATCCCATTCTCACTGAGCTTTAGCAGTAACACTGGAGCTCGCTTGTATCTATTGGGCATGGATGGTGGATCTTTTGTAATTTGAATTCTACTTGTTTCCTATTTCTGCTTTGGAAAGGCTTGACGAACATATCAGCAAGATATAAAAATGAAAATGTCTCAGCCATTGGCAGCAGGACTAGGCAGGGCCGTTCCACTTTTTTTTTTTAAGACAAGTCTTACTCTGTCGCCCAGGCTGCAGGGCAATGGCGCGGTCTCGGCTCACTGCAACCTCCGCCTCCCAGGTTCAAGTGATTCTCCTGCCTCAGCCTCCCGGGTAGCTGGAACTACAGGCGTGTGCCACCATACCTAGCTAATTTTTTATATTTTTATTAGAGACAGGGTTTCAGTGTCAGCCAGGATGCTCTTTATCTCCTGACCTCATGATCTGCCTGCCTCGGTCTCCCAAAGTGCTGGGATTACAGGTGTGAGCCACCGTGCCCGGCCTCATTCCACAATTTTTTTTTTTTGAGATGGAGTCTCGCTCTGTCACCCAGGCTGGAGTGCAGTGGCACAATCTCGGCTCACTGCAAGCTCCGCCTCCTGGGTTCATGCCATTCTCCTGTCTCAGCCTCCTGAGTAGCTGGGACTACGGGCGCCCGCCACCACACCCGGCTATTTTTTTTGTATTTTTAGTAGAGACGGGGTTTCACCTTGTTAGCCAGGATGATCTCGATCTCCTGACCTTGTGATCTGCCCGTCTTGGCCTCCCAAAGTGCTGGGATTACAGGTGTGAGCCACCGTGCCTGGCCTTTTTTTTTTTTCTGACACAGACTTTCACTCTTGTCGCCCAGGCTGGAGTGCAATGGTATAATCTCAGCTCACTGCAACCTCCGCCTTCCGGGTTCAAGTGATTCTCCTGCCTCAGCCTCCTGAATAGCTGAGACTACAGGCGTGCACCACCACACCCAGCTAATTTTGTATTTTTAGTAGAGATGGGGTTTCGCCATGTTGGTCAGGCTGGTCTCGAACTCCTGACCTCAAGTGATCCACCTGCCTTGGCCTCCCAAACTCCTGGGATTACAGGTGTGAACCACCATGCCCAGCCTCCATACCACATTTTAAAGCCCCCATCACTCTGATTTTACCACTAGAGCACCTGAAGGCTCATGTATGTGCAAGCTGGAGATACACTGTATGTATCTCCAGCCCATGCAGCCAGACCTGTTTCATATCCCTCAGGAAGATGCAGGGCTTTATCTTTACCTCAGCTTCTTAGGGTGTGGGTCCCACAGCAGCGGTGCAACCCCAGGAGCTTGTGGGCAGGTAGCCTCAGCCCCACCCAGACCTGCTGAGGCAGAGCCTTGGTTTCACAAGCCCCTGGCTGACCCCTGTGCATAGTCAAGTTTGAGAAGGGCAGCTCCCCTGTTCGGGTCTAGCCCATCACTTGCATTTCTTAGGACTTTTATGGTCTCCATCTCTAAGGCAGTGGCAGCTTCCGAGCTGCCCTCTGTTCTGTGTAGTCCTGGACTGTATTCACACCGGGGTGGGGCGGGAGGGGCTCCATCCCTCTGTTCTTTGCTGGATTCACTCCTAGACCACCTGTTTAATACGAGTGTTGGGGCTTGGGCACGGTTCCGTGTGCCATTTCCTGTGCTGTGTGCATGTGGGGTAAGTTATCATACAACGTTGTTCAACCCTCTCTGGTAACCCGGATGCCTGGCTCTGTCTCTGTCCCCAGGTGGACCCCTCGACCTCATGGCTTGCAGAGTGGTTGCTGCCAGCACCCGGGAGATGGCGATGCTCATAGCTCAGGCCTTACAGACGATTAACTATGGGCGGGATGATGAGAAGTGACCGTGGCTGAGGCAAAGCTGCTCTCCAGGCCTTCCTGGGCTGCTGTGGGCTCCTGGGGAGGTGGCCCTCCTGGCCCACGCTCCATGCCAGTGGCTCACACTCTGCTCCTGGCTACCCTAGAGGGAGCTGTCACGCTAGTGAGTGGCTGGCCTTTTAAATCCACGTCTCTCTCACCAGGATTTGGTGGTTAGCTGTTTCTCTCTTTAATCTCACGTAGCCTTTTTCAGGTTAGTACGTGTTCCTCTGTCAGGGCCAAAACCCAGATCTCCTGTGAAATACGTATTGATAATCCAATCTTGATTTTTTTCCCCCCAGAATATAAATCTCAGGTAATAAGGCTTTAGAACTGCTGATAAAGCGGATCGTTCTCAGGCCCTCCCCCCAGGGTACTTCAGAATGCAATAAATCAAAATAATGGCGCTATGTGTATCTGTTTCCTATATAAGCGTGTCGCCTGATTCCCAAACAACTCTGGCTCTCATCCACTGCTGTGGATCTGTGCTCTCAGGAAGCTTTGCGAATGAAACCCAAAGTCCAGTGTGTGCCGACTGCTGCCTCTGATGAACACCCTGAAGGTGACCCCAGTAATATCATGTGAGTGTTCAGAACCCAAGACGTGGGACAGACAGAAGGAAACTAATCTCTGAAAGTTGCTGTTTCTGTGATCAGCTTTTTTTATTTTTGTTTGAGTCGGGGTCTTGCTCTATCTCCCAGCCTGGAGTGCAGTGGTGTGATTACAGCTCACTGTAGTCTTGACCTTAGGACTCAAGCGATCCCCCTGCCTTAGCCTTCTGAGTTGGGACCACAGGCATGCACTACCATGCCAGGCTAAGTTTTAAAAAGTTTTCAGTAGAGATGGGGTCTCACTGTGTTGCCCAGGCTGGTCTCAAGCTCCTGGGCTCAAGTGATCCTCTCACCTCAGCCTTCCAAAGTGCTGGGATTGAATCACCACACCTGGCCCACCTGTGATCAAAGAGGGTCTTACTTGTTTCTCTTTAGGAGGCAGAATTGTATGTCAGAGTAATTCTAATGAGGCTATTAACTGGCTGGCCAGGTATCTTTCCTGAGATTTAAGAATTGAGAAAGTCTTGGCCAGGTGCAGTGGCTCACATCCGTAATTCCAGCACTTTGGGGGGCTGAGGTGGGTGGATCACTTGAGGCCAAGAGTTTGAGACCAGCCTGGACAACATAATGAAACCCTATCTCTACTAAAAATACAAAAATTAGCTGGGTGTGGTGGTGCACGCCTGTAATTCCAGCTACTTGGGAGGCTGAGGCCTGAGAATCATTTGAACCCGGGAGGCGGAGGTTGCCGTCAGCTGAGATCGCGCCACCGCACTCCAGCCTGGGCGACAGGAGAGACTGTCAAAAAAAAAAAATTAACTGAATTTAAAAAATGACACATTCCCAGAGGTTCACTGTAGGGTGAGCACTGTGTCCTGCCATGTTTGGAATTGTTCTGTCTTTGAAGAGGTGGAGTCTCTCCCCGGGCTGGCCTGGTGCCCTGGTCTTTCCAGCAACAGAGCTAGTTATAGTCATCTTTGAGACTGGCTTTTCTTTCATCTCTGGAGAGCTTGATTTGTCATCTTATTGCGTTGTCTGAACTAATTTTGTTTAGTAGGGCTTTTCAATGAATAGTGTGGATTTTTAAATGAGTTTAAAATATGCTCATGTTTCTCTAAATTGCTGATTATTCCTTTAGGCCTTCATTAGCCCATCTTAATTTTCTCAGAATATACTCAAAACAGATCTCAGTATCTATAAAGATGTGGAAGAAATTTCTTACATTCTCATGGATTTTGAGATGTCGTGCTTATTAGTCATGTAATGTCTTTTAGTGCTTAAGTGTTCTGTGGAAGTTTTCTTCAACAAAATAACTCTCCTAGCACTTTGGGAGGCTGAGGCAGGATTGAGGCCAGACCAGCCTGGGCAGCAAGCAAGACCCCATCTCTATAAAAAAACCCAAAACTAGGTGGGTGTGGTGCCCAGGAAGGTTGAAGTGGGAGGCTCCTTTGAGCCCAGGAGTTTGAGGTTACAGTGAGCTATGACTGCACCCCTGCATTTCCAGCCTAAGCCACAGAATGAGACCCTGTCTCTACAATAAAAGTTTTTAATTAGCCAAGTGTGGTGGTGTGCGCCTGTAGTTGCAGTTGCTTGGGAGGCTCAGGCAGGAGGATGGCTGGAACCCAGGAGGTTGAGGCTGCAGTGAGCCATTATTGTGCCACTGCACTCCAGCCTGGGTGACAGAGCAAGACCCTGTCTCAACAAACAAAGAAAAAAACAGAAAAGAGAGAACTGCCCTGCCGGAAAGGCCCTCCTGGCCCTTGTGTCAGGACAGCAGGAGGCCCTGGGGGAGCTTGAGCTGATGACTCCTGCTTCTGCTTCTGCTCTGTCCGGAGTCTCAGGCTGCCTTTAGCAGCAAGTTTTCCACACAAGCATCATCCCCGCGGCTTCAGGAGAAGCAGAGTGAACCTTGGAGAACAGGGAGGCACCCAAGGTGGGGACCTGTGGGCTCGCCTCATTCATCCCTGGACGAACTTCCCAGAAACAAGATGGGCTGCTCACCTCTGTGACCCTCAGAGTCGGCTCAACGGCTCGCCATGTCGTTTGGAGCTCTTACAAAACGATGCTCACCGATCGCTGGGGATGACGTTCATTCTGAATCCCCCTCACAGGCCTCAGGATACTTTCCCTCATTTTTTTCCCTTCATTTCAACAGTTTTCACTGAGTGTCTTGTGGACACGAGTCATCAAATGTTTTGGTGCCTTTATGATCCAGTCCCAGATAAAAAGTCACACATTTGTCCTAGTGCATCACTGTCGTCACTCAGACCGACCAGGAGTCAGGACGCAGATTCACGTTCAGGCACCTGTGTGGCCTTGAGAGGGCCCTGTGACCTCTCTGTTGGTGTTGGGTGAAGTCTGTACTGGGGGCCTGGCTGCCTCCCTCACAGGGTTGGGAGGATGTCCCAGGACAACGCCTGGAGAGTACCATGAAACCAGTGATGGAGGCAGTCTCAGTTGGCGTGGAGATTTATTTTGCCAAGGTTGAGGATGCTCCTGGGAGAACAACACAAGCCACGGTAGGATCTGTGGTCTGCACTTTTTTTCCAAAAACGATTTTGGGCACTTCAGTATTTAAAGAGGAAAGAAAACAGAAGAGGGTATGGTCACATCCTTGATTACAGCTCATTCATCCACATACTGAGCGTGAGGAGGGGGAAGAGGAACAGTGGGTTACATGGGGGAGATGGTATTTTTCCTCTCCTCTCATCCCTCACCAGGAAGATGAGCTGTTAATTTACAGTATCTGGGTGACAGAGGCCACCTGGGGAGACCCTGCCTTCTATCGCTAGCTGTTCTGTTGAGGAACAAAAGGCAAGCCAGTGTTCTGTGTGACTCAGCTTCCAAGCTTGCCTTTCCCCCTAGGCATAGTGAGTCCTCGGGTCTCCAGATTTTCCTTTCCATACACAGCAACCGTGGAAAGCCGGCTTGGTTTTTTGTTTTTTTTGTTTTTTACAGTTAAACATATTATTAAAGCATGAAAATACAATGATGTCTCCAATAACCAAATGTTACTGAAGAAAACTAGAAATATTTAGATTACACCCCAGCTTAGACAGACTTTGCCTGATTTATTAAGCCATTTACAATCAGTTCTATCATCCATACCCAAGACTTCAGGGCTAGAAAAATACATCCCATAGCTTTCCTAGTAGGAACCACATTCATCATTGCTTTTTTCCATGAAGGGAATGTATAAATACAGCAGCTTTTTGAAAACGTAAGCAGAGGCCCAAATCAGTGGCCTAAAACTTGAGTGATCTGGGGAGGCACCAGGCCATCTGAACCAGCGCTTTGTGTCTCCATCAGATGGTGGGACGTGCGGGGGCTATGCACGTCAGCACAGGGGGCCACTCAGCAGCGGGGTAAACTCTCTGTGCCCCTCTGTAAAATGAAATAAACTGCACTCCTGCCAGGACGGTGTGGATCAAATGAAATAGCGTATGCATGTGACCGCATCAGACAGACAGACAAGAAGAGCAGAAAGACTGCAGAAGCCAGGACAGAGGACCCAGAGTCAAGGGCGTCTCACCCCAACTGCTTCCTGCCTCTTTCTCTGCCCTGGACTTCCCAGTTTCAGCCCCACAAATTGTGTAGTAAGAGTCAAGTGATGTCCAAATCCTGGGCTGTTCTTTACATGCTCAGGCCCTGAACCTTCACTTAACGATGCCACTTCTGGAAGGATGCTCCCCAGCCAGCCAGGCACTGCACCTGATGTTCCCCACAATACGGTTTACTACTTGGATCAGGATTAAGAGAAATGTTGAGATTTGACAGAAAAATTTTAAGTATGAGACACGAAAAAACAAAGGGAGGAAGAAATCTCAGTGACAGAGACCCCGATTTCAATCTTCCTGGATGTTCCCACTCCTTAGTGCAGGAAAATCTGAGACCTGAGATTACCCAGGATGAAAGCCATAGCATCTGAGCTAGGAAACCAGCCAGTCCGAACCACGCTGCTTAATTTTTAACAACCAATTGCTCACATTCCTATTTAAACATCAAATTGAAAGCTCAAACTCCAAGTTGGCCTACTGTTGTTTTTCATTTCACATAAATGACAGAAAACCAAGAAGCCAGTTTAAACAGTATCTCCTGTTAGGAATATTAACATCAAAAACATTCAGAGTAAATTAATTCCTCTGAGTTTGTTTACTCACCTGAAAAACGAGGGTAAGAGAATGACTGTCAGGGCTACATGTAATAATATGGTGAAGCCACCTGAATGTGTGTGACAGGGTAACAGTGACTGCTGTAGGATTGACTATATTGTTTTCCACTAAAATTCTATAATGAGAATTAGAAAAAGTTAATCAAAATAACTTCTGATTGACCTCAAATGCTTTAAGATATAAGCAGATTGTATAATCCCTAGCATAGCTGGTGGTTCTCCTCTCCCTCCTGGTCCACAGGCCCCCAAAGGCTCTGGCCCCTTTATGATGTGGTGAATGACTATAGGTCAGGTGTCTCACTTCTGGGATGAGCAGCACATTGATGGCACAAGACCATCTTGAGTTCCTTTCTCTTATCACTGGGATCTGTGGTCCCTTGTTTTGCCCTGAGAGCAGCAGACATGGGGCAGAGCTGACCTGTGTGGACACGTGGCATGAATGGAAATGAGCCTTTGTCATGTTAAACCAGAGATCTGAGGCTTATTACTGCAGCATAACACAGTCCCATCCTGACCAATCAACTTTTTATGAAGTCATACCTTCCCTGTAATGAGGCCATCGTATCTATAGTGGTGATTGTTCCATTAAGTTTATCAATATAAAGCCTACTGAATTATGAATTTATCAGTATGACTACTAAATTGTGGCCTAAAATCCATGAAATATGAAAAGACATGGGAACCAACTGAACAGTAATAAAGATACTTCAATCCAAATCAAGTAGGGGAAGATAGTGCCTTCAACCTGATTGTAGGTGCAGAATTCTTTCTATCCAAATCTCACTACAAAATGTTAAAGTAAGGTTACAAAAAACCATAATAATAAACCCAAGGATGAAGACTTTAAAATGCCATGGTCCACTGCTTTGTGAACTGAACTCTAAGCTGAAAGGCACAGTCCTGGTGTGCCCCACTGACATCGTACAAAAACTAAAGTGAAAAATAAGGCCGACCATGCTCACCTGCATATGCACAGAATCTCCTGCAAGAACTTAGCACTCACAGCACACATCTCAGTCTTTGCACTCCAATTGTGCTGTGGTCCCAACAGCATTTTGGCCCTCCCAAGAAGGTAAATTTGTTCTTCTTATTTGGCTAAATTAAATGATTTACCCTGGGTTAAGTAGAGAAATAAGTATTTCATATTGATAAAGTCAACTTTAGTGATAATACTTTCTAGTTATGTTTAGGAATAAATTTTATGATCGTTATGATAATCTGTGCAGGTTTACATTTAAGGTTCTTAAAACATTTAACAAAATCTTACATATTCCCCTTTTGATTTTCAATGTTTAATTGTGATTGAGAATTTTTCACAAACAGTATTTGAAAATCTGAAAGCTCAAATTACCATATGTGTAATGTTGGATTTACTAGCTTTATAAGGATTACTTCAGTACTTAGAAAAATTTTTTAAAGTTTTAAGGCTGTTTAAATTAGGCCCCTTGAAAAATTTAAGAGAGTCAGATATTAAAAAAGCCTGTAAAGGTAATGTAACTCTATGGGAGCTAATAAGCCAAGTTTGTGAAGTGGAGGTAATTATCTGACGGCATTTTATTCAGGGTCCTTGAGTATTAATTAAAAGCCATGTAAGTTGTTTCTGTGCACAAAACCTCGTTAGAATAAAAACAATCGAGTGGAAAGTTTGTTTTCCTTTTTCAAAACTGGTGTTTGCCCCAGTCCTTTTTACTTACAAGATGTTTTTAATGTCCTTAAATTTAACTCATCACATTAAAGTCATTATTGACCCTTTCTTGATGAGTCGAATGAAAGCAATGCGGGGGGTGACAGCGAAAGGTGGACTTTGGTTATCCTTCCTGGCTATCTCCTCTTGCTGCTACAAACACGATAGTGATCACAAACCACATTCAAGACACTCCAAGGTGTCCTGGAAGAAATACAAAATCACACGATGTCTGACAGCCACTCCTTCTGCATTCTTTCTTACTCCAACTTCTCCTGAATCCAGGTATCAAATTATATTATTAATTTCTATTCCACGAAAGACAGGGATAATATTACATAGCTAGCATCCAATAAATGTCTGATTGTAAGTAAATCTGCCAGTAATTAAGGTGCTAATTATGTAAACAATTTCACATCAGTTCTCTTAGCCTCCTAATCATATATGGTTTTATCTCACTTAACCCAATCAAATCTTGGAAGATGTATTAGTCTTCCATCTCACCAAACAGCAGTATATTAAAGTATTACAATAACTGAATGACTGGTATTTTACCTTCCCAAAGATACCTTACTCCCAAAGAGCAGAAAAGACAACTGCAGATAACAAAATACTGTCCTTGTAAAATAATGCTGAAGTCATATAATTAAGAGAATGTGTCCCTGGAAAAAAGAAAATTAACAAGCTAAACAAAATAAATAATACAAAGAATAATCATATTTACATAGTTTCAGGTTTTATTTTCATAATTATCTTCCTATAGAAGCAATACTCTGCATTTCCATAACAACACATTTAATATTCTACTCATCAGAGTTGGAAAAAATAGGAATAAAGCAGATTCCATACACGAATACCATACTCTGCATATGTACAAATAAATTCAATATATTAAATCTATTTTGTAGGTGGACTTCACTTACAACGTAACAGAATGTTGAATAGTAGATTCTGAGCATATTCATGCAGACTTCCACTTTGGTGAAAGCGATGACAGTGGAGTTCTGGAAGACAATTCTCGTAAACACCAAGTTTTACACTTTGGACTATGCCCTCAAGATAGAAACTTATGTGAGTGGAAAAAGAAAATGTATAAATGTGAACCAAATATTCTTTACTATATAGAATAACCCTGACAACAAAGAATATCCCCAAGTCCTAGTTATCCAGTCCTCACTGGGGGCAGGAAGGGTGAAGGAGGCTGCCCTTGGACACAGCCTTCTGTGTGGTTTAAAGCCCAGCTGCGCTGCTGCTACAGAATGCACTTCATCATCACCTTTTTAAAAAAAAGTTTTCAGTACATGAGACAACTTTTTTCCCCTAAGACTTTAAGGGTAATATGATCTATAAATAAATAGTCTACAATACCTTTAAAGTATTGCCAAATCTGTTTAAACAGATTACTGATTAGCTCAAATGAGCATTAATGTAAGACAACAGAAGTTTCTGATTGGATCTAAAGGATACAAGCTGCAATGATGGGATCTTTGAAACACCGCAATGTCCTTAAATGCAAATGTCTACACATAGCTTGTTCATAGTTAATCCCAATATCATTAATAAAAATGAGCTGCTACCTGAAGAACTATGCCAATAAATTAAGGAAGAAAAACATTAAATTTATTAGCGTTTTGTATCAGACCTAAAATAAAGACCGTATACCAACATTCACGCACCCAAGACCACCTCCCAAAGGAGGATGTTATTCTGTCTAAGCTCTCCCACAGAACTAATTGTGACTAAAATCACTTCTGATACTCCACCTTGGTGTTTTCAGAAAGTCTAGCAAAATCAAGTATCCTATACTTAAATAAGTTATGACTCTAAAAGAGACAGAGACGGGGCATGAATAAGCAGGAAATTTCTTCGGCAGCGTGTACCTGCAGAATGCACACTACTGGTGTTTGCAGCCTCTTTCCAATTAACAGATTATGAGATAGGTCTAAGCCACACAGGGTGATAAAGGAATGTTTCGAAAACAGCATTTTAGGAAATAACTACAAAGGATCAATATATTAGCAGTGCGGTGTTTTAAATATGTCTTTCTAAAATGATTCTTCCCTTTCAGCTAAGTTTTCATAGTACATAGCATTTTCTTTTTCTTTTTTTTTTTTTTTTTTTTTTTTTTGAGACAGAGTCTCACTCTGTCGCCCAGCCTGCAGTGCAGCGAGTGGCATGATCTCGGCTCACTGCAAGCTCTGCCTCCCGGGTTTACGCCATTCTCCTGCCTCAGCCTCCCAAGTAGCTGGGACTACAGGCGCCCGCCACCATGCCCGGCTAATTTTTTTTGTATTTTTAGTAGAGACTAGGGGTTTCACCATGTTAGCCAGGATGGTCTCGATCTCCTGACCTCGTGATCTGCCAGCCTCGGCCTCCCAAAGTGCTGGGATTACAGGCAGCAGCCACCGCGTCTGGCCTATATAGCATTTTCCATGTCAACTTAAGACGGAGTTACAATAAAACAAACCAAATGATTTTGGAGGGAAGAAATATATCTGTATTAGATTGATGGAAACATTACCTCATTCTTACAATGTTAGAAAGATATTCGTAGGCTGGGTGAGGGGGCTTATGTCTACAATCCCAGCACTTTGGGAGGCCAAGACAGGCAGATGGCTTGAGCTTAGGAGTTTGAGAACAGCCTGTGCAACATGGAGCAACCCCATCTCTACAAAAAATAGCAAAAAAAAAAAATAAAAAAATAAAAAAATTCGCCTGGCATGGTGGTGCATGCCTGTAGTTCCAGCTACTCGGGACTGAGGTGGCAGAATCACCTGAGTCCAGGAGAGGCTGCAGGGAGCTGTGATCGCACCACTGCACTCCCGCCTGGGCAACAGAGTGAGACCCTTAAAAAAACAACAAAACCCCCGAAGGTATTCATTACCCATGAGCTCCTATTTGGTCAAGAACCAAGTAGATTTGAAGACAGTCACTGTATGTACTTTTTAGATAGAAGAAATACCCACACTTCAGAGAGGACTGAAGATATTTATAGAATCACTTTAATACGCTACCTTCAAAATTTTTCAAACTCATAATAAGAGCTTCAATCCATCTTTTATTGGGCTAAATAATATTGTAAGGCTCAAAATAACTTCCTGTCTCCATCTCATCTCTGAAAAGACTTGATAATTTAAATGTATCTAACATCATGGGGGTAAATTTCCTTTCCAAAACAAATTTTAAAATAATTTTTTATCAGTAAACATTACTTTTAGCAGCAATTATTAAATGTAAAAAACAATTCACTAACAGTAACTTACAAGCGTCCAAGAGAGAAGAATACCTATGCTTATTACCCCTTTTGTTTAGAACATAATTTATGTATAATTTGGCTTGCAAAGTTTTTCATCAGCTATATTAAAACATAGACAGTCCATTTTCTGTAAATTCCTGCTGGTGTCTTAGAAAAGCTCTTATGGAAAGAAAAAGATATGCTTCACAGGTAATGGATACAATGAGTGATTTGGGGAGATGGTAACTAAAGATCCTAAGTCTTTATTAGGATCCAACATGACTGTAATGAAGTACGTATATCCCTAATCTATTCCCAAGTCCTTGAAATGGCATGTCAGGATTTTTACCTTTGTTTCCCTTTTCTTTTCAGCAAGCAAAATACTAGCATAGTCCTCCTGAGTATTCGTCTTCCTCTTCATCAGCAGCTGTGGCAGTGACACCATCAGGCTTGGCCTGTGGTGTTGCGGGTGATTTCTTCTTGATTCCCCCTCCTGGAACCACCAAACTCAGGCCCAGCTTAGCATACTGTCAACAACAGAGCATGTTCTTAAAAGCTGGATAACTAGAATCCCGACACGTTTTACTCAGCTCTAAAAAGACAGCCTGGCTCTCCGCCCTCATGACCACCAATTCTGCCATTCAGATGGAAAACAAAACCCAGTAACGCTGTTCTCCAGATGCCTCATGGCCACGGTGGGGCAGGTACACAACTAGTAAAAGTATCAATTATAATTTCTTAATTAAAACAGGTACTTACAAATCCACTGAAAAAATAGAACAAATAGAAACTTATAGTCCTGGTTCACATTACGTGCAAGGCATCACGTGAGGATGTTTCTCACACACTGACTAATGTATTCCTCACAACAGTCCAGCAAGACAGGTACTAGGGGCTTCATTTTACAAATGAATTAACTGAGGTTTAGAGAGAATTAGTGACCGGCAACACGTAGCTAGTCATCACGGATCCCCGCAAGTCTACTGAATTACAAAGGCCACTACAGAATGGGTCTCTTTCAGACGGTCCGTCTAAAAGAAACGAGTAAAAGCAACCTATGCAGGACAACAGATAGAGGAAAAGTTGAGAAATAAGCTTGAATTTTAAAATATGTATATGGTCAACAGTTAGACGGGTGAGTAAATGGCTATAAACCACACAACTACCATCTATTTTATCTAAATCTATGGTGAAATTCAATGCAAGTGGTCAGTTTCCTTATGAGTAGTAGTTTGAGAAGAAAAAAAGAGGTAGGAAAAAATCCCTTAAGTACACGGGTAAAAATCTCACTAGAAAGCTTTCTTTCAAGAGAAAAGATGAAAGCTACGCAAACAGGTCCGCTTACGTCATTGTCCATGTACTTGAACAGCGGCGAGCTGCAGACATCTGACACTTGGTCTTGGTCCTGCTGGTCATAGCCTTCAAGAAGCTGCTCTAGCGCAGCACAGTCTTCGCTGCCGTTGAACCCGGGGATGCTGCAGTGAGCACAAATCACACGTCTTCACCTTCTCCTTAAAGGAACACAACTCAGGCATGGATGACTCTGCCCCTGGCATGTGACAATGTCTGGAGACATTCTGGTACTTAAAAGCGTGGGAATGCTAGTGGCATCTAGAGGGCAGAGACCAGGGATCCCACTAACCAGCCTGCAGTGCACAGGACAGGCCCAACCACAAAGAATCATCCAGCCCAAATGTTAACAGTGTTGAGATTAAGACTGCTCATGTTAAACACTAAGAAAATCCCTCATTTTGATTTCTGTAACATACAATTGGAGAATTTTTTTCTCCTTTTTCTTATTCTTTTTTTCTTAGAAGGCAAATAAAACAAAATGACTAAAATGACTAAAGTCATTCACTTCCATGGAGGTCCCCAAGAGAAAAATACAGGAAAGGAAACAAACAAACAAACAAACAACAAAACGTGTAAAATGCCCACTGTAAAAGATGAAATGGTAGACGAGCACTCCTAAGATTTAGAAATAACAGTCTCATGGCCAGGAACATTTGTCCTAGCAGCAATCTTAGTTGTAGAAACAGAAGTGCTAACACTGCCAGTCAAGAGGGCCCAGACAGCGTCTTACCTATAGCTCTCCCGGACACATCTTTCTGCAGCCACATAGTCATTTCTGTGGAGATGAACTAAGACTTGAGCAATTGTTTTCTAAAACAAAAGAGAGGATCATGGTCAAATTTATGTCTGTTTAATAAAGTCAGTATCCTGGCAGTATTAAAAACACCTGGAGTTTAACTTTCAGAGTCTTTGTTTGTACAAACAGAGATTTATAAATGCTATAGTAACTTCTATGGGACACCTGAGGGGAAATATCCGAGAACAGTACTTTCCCAACTCTCATGTCCTGGGATTTGGCTGCTTGGGGCAAGTCTGGGATTCACCCATTTCTAACAAGTTCCAGGGGGCACTCTTACTACTGGTCTGGGGACCACACTTTGACGCAAGCCTTAGATCACAACCACGTTTTAAAGAGAATCTCTTTCAAATATCTACACAGATTCAAGCTTGAAAAGTGAATAAAAAAGAAGAGGGGGGCGACCATAATTCCACAATGATACTTAGAATCTTTAAAAAGAAACTAGGAAAAAGATGTATGAGTGAAAACTTCAGATAACAGAAACAATGATAGTATTGATAAGTCAACGATAAAAGCAGTAATAAGATCAAGGATATGACTGATAAATTATTGGCAAAATAGGTCTTTATGAAATATTTTTCCATCTTTTTGATCTGTATTGTTTAGGTAACTTTTACTGATTTATCTTCAAATTCACAAAGTCTTCCTTCTGTCATCTCTGAGATTAAGCTTATCCAGTATTTTATTTCAATCATGTATTTTCCAGTCCTAAAATTCCCATTTAGTTCATTTTTATAGTTTCTATAAAAACAATTTTTCCTATAAAAAACAACAGGTCCTCTTTTCTATTCATTTCAATTGTCTTTATCTTTACCTCATGAAGCAACTGTAAGTCTTTATGTGATAATGCCAAAAACCCTGGTCACTGCCGGGTTGCCATCCGTTGTCTTTTCTCCTGAAAACTGGTCGTATTTCCAGGGTCTGGCATGTTAATTCTGGACTGTACTGTGAATGTGATGCTGCGCGGCCTCTGGTTAATTTTCAGGAGAGTACGGATGTTTTCAGCAGGCAGTCACCCCAGTTAGGTTCAGACTACACGTGGTGCCTTGTTTTTGGTGGATGGAAGTTCTACACTCAGTTCAAATCCTTTGCTATGTGGCTTTGGGCCTGTTCCATGCATAAGCCCTTCAGAGGGCAGTGCGACACTTCCACGGTGAGGAGATCTTAGCTCTCCAAGCTCTGCGCTGCACTGCTGCTCTGGTGCCTGTCTCAGTACAGCTGAAGAGTAAGCCCAAGACCTGTGTGGGCCACATCCACACTCTGGGGACTCCGTTTCCAGCTCTCTCCTTTCTGGAATTTTCTCCTTTCTCTCTAGCTCATTTTCCTAGTTCCTCTGGCAAAAGAGACTGGGGTCCTTGTGGCGTTTTATCAACCTGAGCCATCATCACAGTGCAGCTCCATGCCTGGGCACAAGCTTGGAGCAAAGAAAAAGGAGAGGAAAACAATGGGACCTCTTCTCCCAGTGCTGGTTAGAGAGGCGGGGTTCCTTTTGGAGTTTTCACTGTTGCAGCCTTTGCTGCCCAGCTCCACAACTGCGGGCTTCTCTCATGGCAGGGCAATGCTGCAAGACGCAATGGAAAAAACCCCCGAGAAACTCACTCCCATGGTAGTTGTTTCTCCAAGTGTTTGCTCCTCTCATTAGTCTGTTTTTATTTACTTTTCAGAGTTCAAGGGTGGTTGCTTTTGTATTTTATCCAGTAGTTTAGTTGTAATCAGCAGAGAGACAAGCTGCAGTGGGCTTACTCTATCTTGGTCAAAAATAGAGGCCCAGGAAGTATTATTTTACAAAAACATAGAAACAGCCATAGAATCCTTTCTTAGGTACTTATTCATACCAGTATAAAAAACCATCTAATGTAACACCAAAAACAAACACTTTCAAAGAATACCTTATAACAAGTTGGATAATTCTCAATTTCCTTATAAATATTTTTTTCTTTCTGAATAGAGAGTGCCGCCTCATCAAACCTAAAACGAAACACAGAAATGTGAAACAAGCAGGTCTAAATGATCGATAGCAGAGGTGCCCTGAGAAATGTGCTTGACATCATAGACTGCAGAGACACCCGGAGGACAGGCAGTGTTAGCAGCTGCCCCAGGACCCAGGTTTCCACACGCTCTGCTCATTTGGCTTGCCTTTCAAATGTCTGACCGCCCACTTTCAGGCTGCACGGTGACAGAAAAAGCAAAGAACTCAAAGATGGGTTAGGTCAAATGGGGAGTTTGAAGCTTGGTAAGGACTGTCCAATAATGAGTATCACAACTTCTTTGTGATACGTATTTGAGACGATCTTCGATTAAATCACCCAAGATTTCTTTCCGCCCGACTGAAAGAACATCCTGACACCCAAGGCACTCAGTACCTTCCCCCAACTGTGTCCCTCCATCACATTCTCGCTGCTGCCCCAGTGGCCCTAGCAAGCTCTGAAGTGCCTAAAAGGGCAGCACTGAGGGGTGGCAAGTCAGAGACCTAAACAAAAGCCTTCCTGCATCTTCAATCTTCAACATTCATCTTTTCCACTGACCCTCATACATTCTCCTTTTCTTCCATTTTGCCTAATGGCAGAATGAAGATGAAAGCAAGGAAAGGGGTCACCAAAACTTTTTCCCCAAACCCTCCAGGCCCTTACCCCTTTTTCACTCCCCCAGCCCTAATTCCATCAAACCCTAATTGAATCCTCCCCTCCCTGCAAAGCTGTAGTATACTCCAAATGCCAGGACTCCCTGAGTAGTACAACTTGAGACTGAGTGAAATGCACGGTCTGTAGCCATTGCTGTCATCCCAATATGAGTTCAAGGTTATGGCAGCAACTACCAGGGGTCTGGGCATTGGGAATATACACAACCAACAGCCAAAAGGGGCAAGAGTCTGTAATATCGGGATTCAAAGGGAGGTAAGTGGTATTATAACCCAAAATAAAAATACAAAAATGTTATGCTATATGATTTTTTTTTTTTTTTTTTGAGACAGAGTCTCACTCTGTTGCCCAGGCTGGAGTGCAGTGGCGTGATCTTGGCTCCCCGCAACCTCTGCCTCCTGGGTTCAAGCGATTCGCCTGCCTTAGCCTCCCAAGTAGCTCGGATTACTGGCGCCTGCCACCACGCCCAGCTAATTTTTGTAGTTTTAATAGAGATGGGGTTTTGCCATGTTGGCCAGGCTGGTCTCGAACTCCTGACTTCAGGTGATCCACCCGCCTTGGCCTCCCAAAGTGCTGGGATTACAGGTGTGAGCCACTGCACCCAGCTTATGTGTTATCTTTTTAAAAATAGTTGCATGTATACAGACACACACACCACACACACAGTGGCTTGGCTTATGCTATTATGGCTACTTACATCATGAGTTAAACTGAATCTTTATGGGATGCACCCTGGTAACTTAGTGCCTTATAAAATAACACTCAGAGAAGAAATGCGTTCTGAATTTCCACAGGTCAACTTGATAAAGTTTTGGAACAAAGTCAATTTATAAACTGGGTTTGGCAGCAGAATTCTAAGAGTGCTCCCAATTCTTGCCCCTTGTAAACATTTCCTGCATAATCCCCCTTTAAGTGTAGGTGTGACCCTCGGAATACGATGGGCTATCCTGTGATTAGGACACAAAGGGCCCTTCCTTAAGTTAGAGGCCAGAAACCAGAGTGACGCGCTCCCGATGCCTCCAATCAGCAGCAAACTGCCATGCTGTGAACCACCAAGGGGGGCACATGGCCAGGAACTGAAGGCGAACTCAAAGCTGAGAACAGTTCCTGGCCAATAGGCAACAGGAAAACAGGAATCTCTTTCACACAGCTGCAAGGAAATCAATTCTGCCAACAATCAATGAGCTTGGAAAAGGACCCAAGCCTCCGGTGAGATCATAGCCCGCTCTGACACCTTGATTTCAGCCTGGTGAGACCCTAGCTCTGCTACCTAGCTACACTAGGATCGAGCTACACTAGGATCTAGCTACACTAGGATCGAGCTACACCAGGATCTAGCTACACTAGGATCGAGCTACATCGTATCCAGACTTCTGGCCTTGTGAAACTGTGAGCTAATCAGTGAGTATTGTTTTAAGTTGCTAAGTTTGTAGCAATTTGCTATGCAGAAATAAAAAATTAATGCAAGGCGGACTACAGCTACATGTATCTATATTATTTATAATTGTGACCCTGAGCTTATAACAGATCCTGTTTTATAAAATAAATTACATCAGAATATTCTGTGCCCACAGTGTCCAGATTATATCATTCTATTAGCAACCTCAGTATTTTAAACTTTTCATACATTTAACTATAAAGGGTGCATTCTTTATACATAAACTGTTTATTTCCTTAACATAATAACAGCATTTGTATGTGCTAATATATACTTACCTAACAAAAAAGCCAAGCACTTACATGAGTTTGTAGTTGAAAAAGTTGATCAACTTTGCTAAAAGGCCATGAAATTAGCATATAAAGCCATCTATTTTTAAATGTATCCTGAAAAGTATTAGTTACTTATTATAATGAAACACAGATGATTTCAACTTTCCCCTCAGGTAATACTCAATATTCCTAACACAATGACAAGAATCTGGTTTTGCTGAAAAAAGAATAAATTGTTTTTATCTTCCCCAAATGAAACAAAACTGAAACCAGACAGAAGTTATGTGCAAATGGCAGAAAACTATCACAGAACCTCATTCACCCCCAAGCTTTCAACAGACACCTTCCTCACCACAACTCAGACTCTTCCTCTGGCCCCAACTATTCCCTGAACTCCAAAACCTATTTCTACCTACCTACAGAAATGTTGAGTTTATGTGTCATATTCCCAACGAAGTTTATGATCATCACCGAGAAGTTTGTGTCTATATTAATTATCTGTTATTAATGGCACCATGGGCAGAACAGTTACGTAAGACAGAAACCCAGGGATTCTCCTTAATAGCACACACCCCACCCCTGAACATATACACACCCAGCCCTCCCTGTGTTTAGGATCTAGTGACTGTCTCAGACAACTGGTGAGAAGCAGCTCTTTTCTTTGCTAACTGAATCTTCTGGGAGGGATTTGGGTTCACTGAGACCACACGCCTTGTCTCAAAGGTACAGACCTTCTCTCAGAGGCACAAGGTCATGATCAACTTGCTGCAAAGGCCTTTTCTATATATATATTTTTTTGAGATGGAGTCTCACTGCAACCTGCGCCTCCTGGGTTCAAGCGATTCTCCAGCCTCCTGAGTAGCTGGGATTATAGGTGTGCGCCATCATGCCCAGCCAATTTCTGTATTTTTTAGTAGAGGAGGAATTTCACCATGTTGGCCAGGCTATTCTTGAACTTCTGACCTCAGGTGATTCATCTGCCTCGGCCTCCCAAAGCGTTGTGATTACAGGCATGAGCCACGGCACCCAGCCTGGAAAGGCCTTTTCTAAAAAGGAACAAGGGCACTGGCCTTGGACTGCCTTTAAGACCATCCCAGATGTAATCTAAATGAAACTCTGAATCACTTCTAACTATGACTCTCCAGAACTGAAGGAGAAGCAAGAAATTAATATGTTAAATAGATTAACTTTGCTACACTAACATAAAAAGTATTAAATTAGGACATCTTACGGACTCATGTTAATGTAAAAAGAAAAAAAAACCCAATAAAGCAAAGTCATGAATAAAAGCCCTACATTTATAAATGTGCCCTTTGAGCACATCTACGCAGCATTCTCACTTCTGCTGCTCATTCAACTAGCATTCTCCCCTCTGCTGAGGCTTCGAAGAATCTAACTCAGTACTTGCTTTAGAACAATAGCTTTCTTTAGATGTGTCTAAACCGACTGGCAACATTGGTAATGTTTTGAGGATGGTGGTGGCCCCCATCCCTAGCGGAGCTTTCTAAAGGAATATGCACAGGCAGCTGGAAAACCTTCCTCACCTGACCTCCCCCAAAAGATCCTGGCCTCTCCCCTTTCCTGCGCTACTCCCTCTACCACACAGCTTTAGATAATCTATACCTTGAGAAACAAAAGCAAAGATACGGGAAGCAGAAATACTTCAGGGGAGCTGAGGCAGTGTGGACTCTCACACAGGGCTGTCCTCAACTTCTGCCCCTTCCTGCAACTTCACTTCCTCCACCTTCCATGGGGTCTCATAGTAAGGGGCTTAGCGCTCTAGAAAGGCACTGGGAGCCTTGTTGGGGAGCATTAGGAGGTGAGAACAGATGAGAAAGGAGGTAAACTACGCTAAAACTTGCCTCCTGGCTGCCCTGAAAGAATGAAGGACACTGTTTCTAAGACAGGCCCCTGCTCACAAGTCAGAACCTCGGTATCACCTCACAGTTCAGCTATTCTGCCCCAGTCATCGCGCTATCACCAAGAACAGCTCTGCTGCTGTAACAAACATCTTCAGAAACTAAACTGAATCATTTTTAACTTGGGAACTGTCAGAGTTAGCATTCCAGTCACTGATTTCTGGGAAGCAACAAGTAATAAGATGAATAAAGGTAATGACCCCGGATTGACATGTAAATGAAACTTTGCTTCATGATTAAAGTCCTAATTTAAAAACAAAATGAAATTTCTATTCCATTTAGACAAAAAACAAACAAACAAACAAACAAAAAAACAAAAAAACCTACTCAGTGAAGGAAGGTCCTATAAACAAAGTAGTCTATCTAAATGAGATTAACAGTTAATTCTAGATTAATTTATTCTCATGTTACTCTAGACTGATTTAAATTATATTTCAGCATCTGCAGTCTTCATGAAGAAAAAATTTAATTCAGTCTCAGAAAGGATAGATTCATCAGTCATTTCTATTTTGATTCCTTGACACATGAAATGGATCTTGCGTCTTTTCTGTCACTGGGAAGCTTTGGGCAAATTTCAATTAAGATATCTGCAGACCTACAACCTCCTAAAGATGTTTATCTTAAATATTATTGAGATAGAATTTTATTAATGAAAGAAACTGTTTACTAAAAGTAAACTGAGATAAAGTAAAAAAACAAAAGGAAATCCCAAGAGGTTTTTAGCTTTCTGAGGTTCAACTATTTGTGCTTCAGGTCACATGTTGCAAGGTAAATATTGTAAATATTGTATTAATGACACTATTTGTCAAGAACCTGTCAATTTTCATGGGTGTTTATGCATCTTTGTCATTTATCCTAATATTCTTATTTTTCCTTGAGAGAGGTATCATAACCCAACCAAATAACATGAAGAAAACTGTTCCCTCTCAGGTTGCTGAGCCAGGGTTCAACCAAAAAAAGCACAGTGCATGATAAATTTCGGCATTACACTTTCAAAAAACAGCAGATCTTTTAATATCTAATTCAGTGTGCCTACTGTCTAGTAAATGTTAATGTTCTCTTGTGTGGCCTGGTGTGTCTACAGCTTATACCAAAAAATTAACAAGCTATCCCCCAAATGACTTTCCAGTTCCAAATGTGGATTCAAAGTATAAACACACAGCAATAGTTTTTAAAGACATACCTACGTCCTCGTACTAGTAGTCTGGAGGCTTTTCCTAGTAATTCAACTGCCTGCCGTAAGCGTTCTTCATTCTGAAGGAATCAAAGACAAACAAATATTGGCTGCTTTAATGCTGAAATGTTTTTATCCCACAATATTTATTTTGTAAAGAAGTAACGGCACTGGATCAAGGGGGGAACACGAAAGCTGCTAGTCCATTTCACTACTCTCTAACAGAAAAGAAATAGCGCGCAACTGTGAGCACGGAAAAGTTTTAAAAGTAGCCACTGCATTTCTCTATTTTCCTACATATTATTAATCTGAACATTCTAAGTAATTAAAGAAAAAAATAAGATTCAAACTTACTTCAAACACATTAGCTGTCTGTTGATATAACTGTACAGCCTTCTCTGGATCAACATTTTCTATAAGCCTGAATTAGACAAGAAAATGTGACTCACATGAGAAATGGAAAGCTTATTTTTCAAGGACTTCTTTAAAATAAAGACAAGACTTCTATGCAGAGCCTCGTCCATCTCACACTCACTTTCCAGCTCGCTCCAAAGCCATGGCTGCAGTGTCTGGGGTGCCGTTTTCTAGATACATCATGCTGGCTTTCTCAATTAGCTGAACAGCCTCTGGTAGTTTCTGCATCTCCTTTGGGCAAAGGATACGCACAGGTCGGAAAATGCATCCGTTAAAGAAAAACAGAGTTAACAATCTGAAATGCAATTTTTTAAATTTTAAGTTCTGGGACACACGTGCAGAACGTGCAGGTTTGTTACACAGGTATACATGTGCCATGGTGGTTTGCTGTACCTATCAACCCATCAGCTAGGATTTAAGCCCCACATGCATTAGGTATTTGTCCCGATGCTCTCCCTCCCCTTAATCCCCACCCCCCGACAGGCCCCAGAGTGTAATACTCCCCTCCCTGTGTCCATGTGTTCTTGTGGTTCAATTCCCACTTATAAGCGAGAACATGCGGGGTTTGATTTTCTGTTCCTGTGTTAGTTTGCTGAGAATGATGGCTTCTAGCTTCATCCATGTCCCTGCAAAGAGCATGAGCTCATTCTTTTTTATAGCTGCATAGTATTCCATAGTGCATATGTACCACATTTTCTTTATCCAGTCTATCACTGATGGGCATTTGGGTTGGTTCCATGTCTTTGCTATTGTGAATAGTGCTACAATAAACATACGTGTGCATGTGTCTTTATAGAATGATTTATGTTCCTTTGGGTATATGCCCAGTAATGGGATTGCTGGGTCAAATGGTATTTCTGGTTCTAGATCCTTAAGGAATCGCCACACTGTCTTCCACAATGGTTTAACTAATTTATACTCCCACCAAGAGTATAAAAACTTTCCTATTTCTCCACAGCCTGGCCAGCATCTATTGTTTCCTGACTTCTTAATCATTGCCATTCTGACTGGCATTGAGATCTCATTGTGGTTTTGATTTGCGATTCTCTAATGATCAGTGATGATGAGCTGTTTTTCATGTTTGTTGGCCACATGTCTTCTTTTTCTATAAGGAACTTAAATTTACAAGAAAAAAACAACCCCATCAAAGAGTGGGCAAAGGATATGAAATGCAATTATTTTATCCCTAATTCCTGAAAGTAAATGACTCAAAAACATTGTATAGCAATAAATATATTTAAAATGAAATGCTTCACATGATTACTCTCCCAATCAAGCCTCATTAAACCCAACCAAAAAGGTACCAGGTAATTTCTACACAGAGTTCATCACCACTTCACAGACCTTTGGGAAATCTATGAAAACAGAAAAAAACCCAAAACCTTGCTCTTCACTGTTTTCTAAGCATTTCTTTATCTTTAACTATTTACCAAGTCCCTACGACGTACAAGACCTCTGCCAAAGATCACAGACTGGCAGCCCAATGACTCTATCTCACTTCCAAGTGTGTTTTGCTTGATCCATGCGGTATTTTTAAATTAGATCTTTCATGAAAATTCTGTTTTATGGCTTTCTTCAAAAAAATATCAAAAGCTACGGCATTGGCAGGCTTGCATCCCTGTATGGCAACAAGCTGGGGCTGGGCAGCACCGTCCCGCCAGAGGAGCACGCACCTCCCGGCACTTCTCCCCGCTCTTCACTTCCAAATGCCTCCGCGTCCTGGCTGCTCACTCATTTCACTTATTCCTCTATACCCTGAGTTCATCTGAGTTTGCAACCCTCTTCCATGACTGATAAATTCTGTATCTTACTGTTAATCTATACATCTCAGGATCATGCAGTCCTACTGTAATATCTCCAAATCAAACACTTTAAAAATAAACTTAAAAAACACCATTTAAAAGCTAGTTATAAAGTTTATATAAGCAACTTTGGTGTTGACTTGCTGTATCTTAAGGTAGGCTCCACACTGACATCTCATGGGTAGTTTACAAATCTGCCTATTCAGTCCCTTGCTAAGTTGACAAATTCATTAGGATACCCCTAACAAAACTGGTCTCATTTTCGCCAACCCCAAAACATAACTTTATTACTTAGCTATGGAAACTAACAATAAAACAGACTGAAAGATACTGTATGAAACAAGGACTGCTATCACTCACTCTAGCAGAATGAAATGCGAATACATCTCCAAACCTCAGTGAAAAATATACCAAACCTTTTGGGTTTTTTGTTATAAAACCAAAAGTCAATGAAAGAATCTGAGTCTATAATATCTGCTGAAAAATATTTGAATGAACAGGGGAGGGAAACCTAACAAAATCTCTCTCAGGCACGTTAGTCCTGAGGGTCATTTCTGCTTTTAAAGAATACAACTGAACCTTGGACAGCAGAGATTTAAACTGTGCTGGTCCAATTATATGCAGACTGTCTTGCTCCTCTGCCCCCTGAGATAGCAAAACCAACCCCTCCTCTTCCTCCTCCTCAGCCCACTCAAACGTGAAGAGAATGATGAGGATGAAGAGCCCTATGGTGCTCTACTTCCACTTAAAGAACATGAAATATATTTTCTCTTCCTTATGATTTTCTTAATATTTTCTCTAGCTTATTGTAAGAATACAGTTTAAAACATATTCCATACAACACACAACATATGTACTATTTATATTATTGATAAGACTTCCAGTCAATAGCAGTAGTGGCTCATGCCTATAATCCCAGCACTTTGGGAGGCTGAGGCAGAAGTATCACTTGAGCCCAGAAGTTTGAGCCCAGCCTGGGCAACACAGCGAGAACCAGTCTCTATCAAAAAGATTAAAAAATTAGCAGGGCATGGTGGCATGCACCTATAGTCCCAGCTACTCAGGAGGCTGAGGTGGGAGGATCGCTTGAGTCCAGGAGGTTGAGGCTGCAGTGAGCCACGATTGTGCCACTGCACACCAACCTGGGCGACAGACCAAGACTCTGTCTCAAAAGACAAAAACAGGCTATCAGTAAAGTTTTTGGGGAGTAAAAAGTTGTATGGAGATTTTCAGCTGCACAAGGGGTTGGCATCCCAGCCCTTGGGTGGCTCAAGGGTCAACTGTATTTCCTCCCCAAATTTACCTATCCACTAATTACATATATACTGTGAATCTACAACATAAAAGCATTTGGGAGGATTAAAAAAACAAAACAAAAAAACACACAGGAGCTATTCGTCATGAGTTTTACCCAGTAGGTAGAGCAAAAAATACGTTAGAAGGCAGTATAAATGGCATCCAAGTGCTATTTGTTGTTTAAAAATTAGCAACTACATCTTCCTGCTTTTGCATAAAATCGAGTGAGGCTGTGAATAAGAGGTCCAACCACAATATTGACACTTCTCCATAAAAAATGATGAGCTGCCTACTTGAAAGTTATACCCTCCACCATAAATATGCCTATTTTCAATGGTTGTGTGCCCGTGGAGCAAACAGGATATGAAATCACAGCAGTCATCAAGTGACAGAACCAAAGGTTGATCCAACAAGTTTCTGTGGCTTCCCTGCACATCTGTCTACAAAATGGCACTCTCCAACCCTTGCTGGTGAATAAATGTGAAGGTTTGTAAGACAAATTGGTAGAAATTTTAGCCCACAGAATTGCGGACCATGTAGCGCAGGAGTCCCATGCTCCCAAGACTGTCCAAAGGCATTTAATTTACATATAAAACAATGCCAGAAAGCATTTTCCTTCATCTGTTTCCCTGTCCACTAAGTTAAATTTCTTTCATTCAAAGTAGTGCCTTTCCAACCCTCAAATTAAATAGATACTTGGGCAATGGAAATGATGCCTGAATAATAAATTTTGATGAAGATTCAAGTCTTAGTACAGCTGTTGCAATATAAACTGAGGCTGTGAGAATCAGTGTTTGAGCGTTTCTTAATTAAGTATATCCTAATAACATGCACGAAGTACACTGAGACTGTAACAGCCACCTGGGAGCTTCCTAGTTCTCAGTGGAAAATGAGACAGAAGAAGGCCAGAGCAGATCCCCAGCTTCTTTGGCTGTAAGAGAAACTCTAGTTGCAAAGGAACTGCAGTTAATAACCTAACTTGCATCACCAAATACCAATTCAGTTGCATGTTTGGCCAGAAAAGCTTTATTTCAATGGATTTATAACAGTTTATCATGAGGAAGCATCATAATTTAAACATTCTTCTATTATTATTATTTGTTTTGAGACAGTCTCGCTCTGTGGCTCAGGCTGGAGTGCAGTGGCGTGATCTCAGCTCACTGCAACCTCCGCCTCTGGAGTTTAAGCAATTCTCCTGCCTCAGCCTCCTGAGTAGCTGGGATTACAGGCGCCTGCCACCACCCAGCTAATTTATGTATTTTTAGAAGAGACAGAGTTTCACCATGTTGGCTAGGCTGGTGTCGAACTCCTGACCTCAGGTAATCCGCCCGCCTTGGCCTCCCAAAGTGCTGGGATTACAGGTATGAGCCAGTACACCCAGCCTCACTTTTCTATTTTTCAAAATTTAGATAATTGCCATTTCTTCAAAAAACATCCTGATGCATAAATCTTTGCTATCTCTCTCTCAATGACAGATTCACAGAATTGAAATTCCTGGGTCAAAGACTATAAAATCTTTTAAATTAAGCATGTTAACAGCTATTACTAACATTCTTTAACCTTTTGGTATTTTTTGTTGTTCTACAACGAGCATGTGTTCACTGAAAAAAATAAGTTCACATTATAAAAGTCAGAGAAATTAAAAACAAAAGCTTTACTAAGGTAAAGATTCTTAAAAACAAAGCTTTATAATAAATACGTGAAAGTAGCTTTTACCATTTTAGATGAAACATTTTAAAAAAAGAAAGTACTTTATTTCAACTGCCAGCTGGCATACTTTGAGAGTCGGCATCATAAAGTAGTATGTTCTGTCTCACCACAGCAGGACATTAACTCCTAGCCTGCTTTTGAGGAGCAGAAGTACAAATAGCGGCACAGGCACATTGGTCGGAATATTCCATGCAGAATGAATTAAAGTAGCAAAAGCTTAAATCTGTGGTTGTCTCTGCTGCCAACTGTTATTCACACAAGTAAAAATGTCTTCTATAATCCATGTATGGTAATTTTAAAAATATTTATAAAATTTTACTACATTCAGATGTCCTTCTCAAAAGTAGAGAAACTTCCCATAAAGCTCTTTTTATAGCAATACACATCTATCCTGGTTATAGAGCTTAACACGCTACTGTTCCCAGTTCCCTCCGATACATTCTCTCTTATATTTCACTTTTAACACTCCTTAAGATGTACAGAATGTATTCTACGGGTCCAGTTAATGTTACAATGGACATAAACCTTACACTTAGCACCTCTTGCCTTACGGTAAGGAAGCTTTTCAACTCCAACATAAATTCTTGTTTAACACTTTGTAGTTAATCCGTTTTACCTACACAACAACTGTGACATAACATTACTGACCTTCAACATCATTCCAGCTTGCTCATAAGCTCTGCAAAGAGAATATAATTTCTCTGATGAGATCTTAATGAAATGAGCGGTATAAGAAACTTTCTAGTGAGGAACTACTGATAAGGAAAGTGACTTCAATTAAAAAGGGCTCATGCACAACATATCACTTCAGGTTTGTATTACCACACAATATAATTTTTTATTCTTTTTTCATGGGGAATAATGGCTTAGAACATCAGACGTTTGAGTTAAAGAGATTTTATTTTGCAGATGCAAAATTAAGTAAGGCTCAGTAAGGTTAAATTAATTTCCATCTGACAAACCTAAATCTAAGTTTTTTTGTTTTTTTTTTTGGGCGGGGGCGGGGGAATGGAGTCTTGCTGTATCTCCCAGGCTGGAATGCAGAGGCAGGATCCCACCTCACTGCAACCTCCGTCTCCCAGTTTCAAGGAAGTCTCCTGCCTCAGCCTCCCCAGTAGCTGAGATTACAGGCACGTGCCACCATATCCAGCCAATTTTTTGTATTTTTAGTAGAGACAAGGTTTCACCAAGTTGGCCAGGCTGGTCTTGAACTCCTGACCTCAAGTGATCTGCCCGCCTTGGCCAACAAATAACTACTCTCCACAAGGCAGGAGAAAGCTTCCTGCCTCATTTCCACAGGAACTATTAACTATCAAACAGAGAAAAACAGAGATTCTAACTTATTTTTTTTTCCCATAGGCTACTGAACAAAATGCTCCTAATAATATATTATGGCAAATTTAATTTAAACTCTATATCTTAGAGTTAGGAGTGACTCAGTTTTTAATGTTGAGGTAAAAACTGAAACAAAGAGAAATGATTATTTAAATCAATACAAAATGTATAATTTGGGAAAAAATTACCAACCTACAGAAAAACAGCCACATTTAAAACATAATTTGCAATTACATGAACACATGAAGAATACTTACTTGGCAGCATGGAAAAGACTGAATGGAAGCAACGAAGTCAAAGTTAAGGAAAAAAGAAAAAAAAAAACCGAATAGTTTCTACAGATCTAGTATTTAAAGATGGTTAACTAAATCACTGACCCAGTTGGTTCCAAAAGACAAATCCTACAAACAGGTAAAAAAGAAATAATTCAATGCCTGTCGATATCGTTTAAAACTACGTAATTCCCCAAAACACTGCACAGGTTTTAAACTATTTCTATTATGCAATAATCTGAAATTTTACTGAAGTGCAAAGTTATTATGACTACAATTTGCAAGTAAGAGAAACATTTTTTATCGGTAAGTTTTCAAATACCTCAGGAAAATGTACTGTTTTAAACTACTTATAATTTTTATTTCAAATACCCAAGGAAAACTGTATTTAAAAAAAAAAAACTGATACAGTAGTTCATGCGTTTTCAATACCTGTGCTACTTCTTCATTCTTCAGCACATGTCTATAGATTTCCCTTACTTCATCCCAAGTAAAACCATCATCAAGTAAAACCACAAACAATAGAAATAAGTTCTCAAATGTAGCTCTGCGAACCAGTGTGGATCTTATGATCAAACTTCACTATAAACACTCCTTCAGAGTTTAAAAATACAGAATTTTTCTAATAATTTTCTAACTTAAAAACATTTTACTTCACAGTTAGTAAAGCAAATTTACAGCAAGAGAAAACAGTTTGCCAAAATCATCTAATTGTTTAACTTCTTTTTAACAGTTGAAAAAGATACGCCCTATTATTTTCATGGGCAATAGCTTCCCTCAGGCAGGCGTCTTTTGCTTGCTCAAACTGTTTGGCATTTTTAAAAGCAACAGCTGAAATAGAAAAAAAAAACCCTCTCATTTCCATCATTAAAAACCTCAAATCATCACTGAAATCTGCATTTTATATGAAGTATTACAAACATACTTATTTCAAATACTTAAGAAGTTTCCTAAACTATAAAATACTACTTTTTTCTAAAGCAATTTCCTTACAACTTTTCCAATTATCGGTAACTTAGGAGTATTTTTAAAAGTTTTTCTTTTTTAATTGTCGACTACTGGCAACAAATCAGTGTTACTTCCACTCAAAATCAAGAAATCTTTCTAACACCAACACTCCCTAATGCTCCCCAGTGACCGGCAGATTTTTTAGTCACAAAAGACAGCACCTTACTTCACCAGTTGTACCTTTAATAATAAAAACAGTATTTTAGGTATAGGTCATTCAATTACGTAGAAACTGAGGGCCAATAAACACATTAAACAGTTTTTAAAATAATAAACCTTCTTTTTGGCACAATCTTTAAATGTCTAACAATGCATTTATTTTTTTCTTTAAACCTTTTATATCGTTTACCGTCTATGAAAAAGATATCTCACTGTTCAAACAGCTAAAGTATATTGCAAGCTGTTTTAAAAGTGTAATCATCAAAGCAAAACAGGAGTGCTTATAAAATATGATCGTATACATTTTGGAAAACTTATCAAGGGTTGCTTATAAAGAAGCAAAAAGCATAATGCTTTAAGAAAAGTGTTATTTGTTAAAAACACTCTTAAAATTCTCTTTAATAAAATGTGAAAAATAAATACTGAAACTGCTCCCTTCCCTGCTTTTCCGTATGTTGCTTTTTAAAAAATTTATTCTGATTAAATAGATTTTCCATAAGCCCTTAAAGAAAATAAACACAGGATGCTTCAGTGGGAAAATCTCACCTAAAACATTTATTTTTGAATGTAGTTCATGATCTCAGAGGGACAGAAAACAAATCTGTGTTAAATTTCCCTCCCAGAGGACACTTGCAAAATGTTGTTCCCTTCTGCTCCAAAAGCCTCACTGCATAAGTCCATAAAACTCATATGGAGTTTGAACTTTCCATAATTTTAAAGTATGAGAGAGAAACAATTGCCTGATGCCAAAAAAGAGAACTTGCTCCGATTTAAATAAAAGCACTGAAGACGCATTTGCTGTTTAACCAAAAGCACTTGCCCTAGATGTTCTCTGTGCTGGGCTAACACGTCTGATCAGGGCTATCGCTGAAATACAACTGAAAACGTGTTCAAGGTACTCAAAATTTTGTTATATTTTATTTATACTCCAAATTACCACAGATATGCTGAAAGCTATCACTCTATAATTCAGAATGCTAAATTTTTAGTAAATTCCCTTATCTGTTGCATATTTTACATTGTTCATATCTTATATAAACTGATTAAAATATGTATATAGCTTAACACTTTACGAACACGCAACAGACACATTCAATGTGACGTTCATAAAAGACATAAGGACCAAGCAAACATATGATTTGCAGATCTGCTTAAGATGAGGCTAAGTTAACAAAAAATTTAACAGACTCCTTATTCAATAGAAAGTATAGAGAAATACGGCAAAACTCATGGATACAGTATTCAAACAACTGGAGTTGAAGAATACATAAGCAACACTAAAAACCCACTGCCGTGTATCACCAACCCCGCCCCATTGCTGCTGTCATAGACAGCAGGTACCGGGAACTCTGACTCAGCTCTCAACACATCTGAAAATAACAAGTGGAAAAAACCTTTTGTTTTTTAACTATTAAAGCCTTGTAGAAAGCATATACATATTATGGTGAAATGAAGTTATCGGACTATTTTAAGATTACATGCTGGAGCAACTGGACTACAGTCAAAAATACCTGCTTTTCCATATTCAGAAGCGGCACTGTCATAATCTGGCTTCCATTTTAAAAAACCAGTTTTCAGGCTAGAATGAAAGAAAGACACAGTTAACAGAAGTTACCAACCACATTTATAAGTCAGATCTCTGCTTGTAATGACCTTCTAGGTCTTAAAAAAAAAAAGAAAAAAGAAAATAAAGGAGGAGCCACCAGGCATAAACTTTCCGCGTCACCTGCCTCCACCCAAACTTATGCCTAACAAACACGACCTCACCCCTTTCCCTCGCACTGTCACAGGTATGTGGTTTCCTCCTACAGGTTCTCAATTCATGGTCCCCAGACCAGCACCATCAGCACTGCCTGGGAACTTACTAAAAACATAAATTGTTGACCCCATTCCAAGCCTACAGCACCTCTGAGGTTTAACGAACCCAAAGGTGCATTAAAGCTTCAGAACCTCTGAAGCACGGTGTTGACAGCAGAGGGACTCATGAAACTGATGCACAGACGAGAGGCTAGAGACATAAATGGAGGCATCATAAGCATGTCAAGAGCATAGATGAGACCAGATCTCCTAGCAAGACTGCAGAGAGAGAACACAAAGACTAAGGAATATAATCATTCAGTGGAATAACAGAGGAAGTAGGCAAAAAATTAAAAATTAAAAAAGCAAAAACTCGCCACCCATAAACAAGAATGATAATCAGAAAGGGAAGGATATTACAAAAGCCAAGAGAAACTGCCTTCCAGGATCCCTACTGGCTTCTCAGATGCCAAATCAAAGAACCATCAATTTTGAATTCTTATCTTACTTGCCTTTTCCTCAATATTTTATTTTTTTCTTATTTTAAAATAATTTCAGACTTAAACTAATTCAGTAACTGTCAAATTTGGGTGTGCATAAAAATTGCCCAAGCCATCTTAAATTCTAAATTTCATTCAATTAGTGAAGGCCTGCTTACACAGAACACGGCTTGCTTCAAATGAATCAGGCCAGTATCTTAAGAGGAAGATGGGGAATCTGTAGGAGCCCTCAGAAGTACAGGCTTCATTGTGTGGCAGCCATGTGAACTACCAAAAAGTCGTAGCTTTTTTTTTTTTTCTTGAGATAGGGTCTCGCTCTGTCGCCCAGGCTGGAGTGCAGTGGTGGTATCTCGGCTCACTGCAACTTCCGCCTCTCAGGTTCAAGTGACTCTAATGCCTCAGCCTCCTGAGCAGCTGGGATTACAGGCTTGCACCACCACACTCAGCTAATTTTTGTATTTTTAGCAGAGAAGAGGTTTCGCCATGTTGGCCAGGTGGTCTCGAACTCCTGGCCTCAAGTGATCCGCCCACCCCGTCCTCCCGAAGAGCTAGAATTACCGGCATGAGCCCCTGCGCCCAGCCAGCTACAGTAACATTTTTTGCCAATTAAATTTATTTAACACACTTAGCATCTAAAACTTGTTTGTGTATATAGTGTTACAAAATTCAAATTAACATAAGCAATTTTTCAAGCTTACCAAGAATTTCACTGCTCAGAAAAATAATATCCTTAAATTGTGGTGTGTCTACTGTAATCCACAAAATTGAGGAAATATGCAATATGCAAAATGATAACCCTCTGTTTCTATCCCAAAACAAACATTACATTCTGTATATTAACATAATTTTTTTAATCCCACTAAAAGCAAGATACAATCATTCAGTCGCTGAAGGAGCTATACACGGAAAGACCCAGAGAGTTTGAAACTGGGCAAACCATCCCAAGTCACATGAATACCACTAATAAGGAAGAAAGATGTATAGCTAATTTAGGTTTAGCAGCTATACCTGTTAGTCCTTTTGACTCTTTTTCTCCAAAGAATCAATAAGGAAATTGACCAATTTCCACAGAAAAAAAGAAAACAGCAAAATTACCATCTGTGGGGGTGGGGGGGATCAATTTACAAAATGACTCAGCAACACTGAACTATATCATCATTAGAAAATGGAGAAAAATCAAATATGTCCTAAGCTCCTGGCCCATTTTTCCTACCACCAACCGAGTAACTGTCTAGCAGCATTTCAAACTAACACTTCAAGCCTGAACCCCACACCTCCCTGCCCCAGACCTACTCACCAAGCACATCCATTAACCCCTATCCCCTATCTTGGCTGAAGGCCTCTCCCACTCCCAAGTTAGAAACCTAGGAGCTAACCCTTCATCTCTATATGTAGGGAGGTCATTAAAGCATGTCAACTACATACTGACAAATGTCACCCAATCCCACCCCTGTATTGTACTTGAATCCAGGCCATCACCACCTCTCCCCTGAAGTCAACAACCCACTAACATGTCTGGCACTACCTTCATGGGACAGTCACCTTTCCTCCTCTTCCATTCCCCACACCCGGAGCATATTACCTTTTCCTTGCTTCATATCTCCACCATACTACACTGAATACTTCTAGCACTGAATATCTTCTTTTTAGTCCTCTGTTCACTTGTCTGCCCGTCTGTGAATTCTAAGCTCTTGAAGAAGGGGCCACTTTTGGTTACTCCAGCATCCTCAGTGGCTGGCACAAGTACGCAGAGACAATTTGTAAATGTTTGTTTACTGAATATGTCAAAGTTCATTCTCCACACTGCTGCCACGTTTTTCTTTTCCTTTTTATTTTTTATTTTTTGAGACAGAGTCTTGTTCTGTCTCCCAGGCTGGAGTGCAGTGGCACCATCTCTGCTCACAGCAACCTCTGCCTCTGGGGCTCAAGCGATTCTCCTGCCTCAGCTTCCGGAGCAATTGGGATTACAGGTGTGCGCCACCACACCTGGCTAATTTTTGTATTTTTAGTAGAGACAGGGTTTCACTATGTTGGCCAGGCTGGTCTTAAACTCCTGACCTCAAGTGATCCGCCCACCTCAGTCTCCCAAAGCGCTGGGACTACAGGCGTGAGCCACCGCGCCCAGCCTGCTGCCACATTTCTTCCACCAAAAGCAAATCTAACCGGGTTCTCTGGTTAGATGCCTACAACAGCCATCTGAGAAAGCCGTCCCTTCACAGTCTGGCCCCAACTCTTCTTCACTCCAGCTCGTCCTCTGGCACTGTGACTACACTACATTCACTGTTCCCAGAGCACATTTTCAGGCCCGTGTATAATACATACTACAGTTTGCGCACAGAATCTCTTTCACAAGATTTCCCCTCTGTCTAAAACATTCTGTATTTTTCAGGCCCTGCTCACAAATCATCTCTTCCTCAAATTTTCTTTTCTTTTTTTTTTTTTTTTTTTTTGAGACGGAGTCTTGCTCTGTAGCCCGGGCTGGAGTGCAGTGGCCGGATCTCAGCTCACTGCAAGCTCCGCCTCCCAGGTTTACGCCATTCTCCTGCCTCAGCCTCCGGAGTAGCTGGGACTACAGGCGCCCGCCACCTCGCCCGGCTAGTTTTTTTTTGTATTTTTAGTAGAGACGGGGTTTCACGGTGTTAGCCAGGATGGTCTCGATCTCCTGACCTCGTGATCCGCCCGTCTCGGCCTCCCAAAGTGCTGGGATTACAGGCTTGAGCCACCGCGCCCGGCCTTCTTCCTCAAATTTTCTCATGAAGAATAAACTTCTCCCTCTGCGTTACCTATGCACAGTTAATACAGCTTTTTTTGTGGTCCCTATTCTACACACTACTCTTACTACAAATTTTGCGTTTGCTCCCACTAGAAAGTCAGATTGTTGTGGGAACCCGAGCCCCAGTACCTTACACACTGACTGCCTCAAGTCATGTGATAGCCTGAGTTTTTCCACTGTTTGAAAATTGGCTCTGCCATCTTTCACCTGTGCGGTTTGGCATAAGTCGTTATGAGGCTTCCCCAAGTCTCATTTCCTCTTACGAAAAATTATTATCTCTATTTGGAAAGTTATTGTGAAGATCTCAGCTTACGAAATGATGTATGTGAAGCCCCCACCACAGAGCACGATGCTGGCTTTCTATTAACTGTAACTGACAGATAAAAATGCGCTGGAGTAATGAAACGGGGGGGGGGGGGGGAAGAGGCTGCCCAAAGGATAAATTAAGGAGAATCAGTTCAGTCCCACAAACATTTGCTGGGTGCCTACTACGTACTGTACCAGAGGTGGAAGGACATACACATCAAAGGACGAAAGAAGCACAGTCCCTGCCTACAGGAAAAGTAAACTGCCAGATGAGTTCACCGAGGAGTTTTTGGGGTAAACCTATGGTCCCCTCCACACAAGGAGCTTTTCAAGGGCAGTGGTTCTCGACAGGGCGATGTTGTACCCCAGAGGACATTTTGGGTTGCCACAAACGGGGAGGAGGTGCGACCGGCACCCAGCAGGTGGAGGCCAGGGATGTTGCTAACGAGCCTCCGACGCACGGACAGCCCCGATCACAAGGAGTCTTCAGAAGCACAGAGCCCAAGTAGAGAAGCCCCCTTTACCTACCAGCCCGGCAGCACCGCGCCGGGTCCCGCCCACACCAGCCACGGGGAGCGGACTTCCGGCGGGGCGGACCCACGGCGCTGCCCGAGGCGCAGCGGACCTGACTCCAGCCCGATCCCGGGAGCTCGACCCCGGGAGTGCGACCCAGGGGACACCGAGCCCCTGCAGCCCCGCAGGTACCAGCGCGCCGGGTCCCCTTATCCCTGACCCCTCCTTCCCGCCCCGCCGGGTGCTAAGGCCGCGCCAGTGAGAGACGGACCCGGCGTCCACACGCAGGCCCATGGAAGGTTCTCACTCACTATTTCTCTGCTTTGGCGAGGTGTTCCAGCCCCTCGTTTATCTTCTGGGCCGCCATCTCCACAGTCCGGTCTCTGACGTGGAGACACGGTGCGCCTACCTCTTCCTCCGGCGCCAATAATCCGCCCAAATAGGCGTGGGAACGCCGAGGAGGAGGCTGGTGCAGCGCGACAGTCGAGCGACTACGGAGGGCCGGACGGCCCAAGCCTCTGCGGCGAAGCGGGGCTGGGAACCGACCGGGGCGCCCCGCAAAGAGACATCGCGCAGGCGCAGCGCTTCAAGGCTGGCCGCACCCAGGGCATCTTGCGCAGGCGCGGTGAGATACTGATGGGGCGTGTTCTTTCATTCAGTATTTGCAGAGCACTTAATATGTGTCAGGCACTGTGCTAGACGCGGGAAAATCGGCAGACAAAAACTCCTGCCCTCTTGAAGTCTTGCTTTTTCATTGATGTGAAACTGTGGATCCTGTTTGTAGGGTTATTTGGCCTTATAATTTATTACATCTGAAGTTTCTCTGTATCACAGATAGAATAGTATTCATCTTTTTTTTTTTTTTTGTCGGAGTCTCGCTCTGTCACCCAGGCTGGAGTGCAGTGGCCGGATCTCAGCTCACTGCAAGCTCCGCCTCCCGGGTTCCCGCCATTCTCCTGCCTCAGCCTCCGGAGTAGCTGGGACCACAGGCGCCCGCCACCTCGCCCGGCTAGTTTTTTGTATGTTTTAGTAGAGACGGGGTTTCACTATGTTAGCCAGGATGGTCTTGATCTCCTGACCTCGTGATCCGCCCGTCTCGGCCTCCCAAAGTGCTGGGATTACAGGCTTGAGCCACCGCGCCCGGCCTTAGTATTCATCTATCTATCCATCCTGCCTTTTGGGTATTAATCGTATGTCAGTCAAGAAACGAAACAGACTTGTAAGCCCTGATTACTGTCTAATAATCCGTGCCCGGCGCAAATAATCGCTCTAATATTTCAAGCCGCGATAAGTGCTCTAAACGGGAAGTTGAGGGATCTAAAGTCGCGTACAGTGGTCTGGTGAAAATAGTAACCAGTAATACAGTTGGCTCCGTTCATAATTCATGGTGATTTCAATATCCACATGGATGATTCCTGCAATGCTTATACAGCCTCTCAGCTTCCAGCCTCCTGTGATCTTCCCCACACCAGCGCAGCCACACACTCCTGGTATCACACCATTGACTTTACTCATAACTGTGTGCCCTCCGTAGTGTCGGTTTCAAGCAGCTCACTTTACATTCCCTTTCCATTCCAGCTCATACCTCTTAGTGCCAGTAATTACTTACCTGCATCAGATTCCTCACCTCTCCCTATCCCTCTGCTCTTACACTTCCCTCTTTTCCCAGCATAAATTCAGGTCCCGGCCGGGCGCAGTGGCTCACGCCTGTAATCCCAGCACTTTGGAAGGCCGAGGCGGGCGGATCACAAGGTCAGGAGATCGAGACCATGGTGAAACCCCGTCTCTACTAAAAATAGAAAAAATTAGCCGGGCGCAGTGGCGGGCGCCTGTAGTCCCAGCTACTCGGGAGGCTGAGGCCGGAGAATGGCGTGAACCCGGGAGGCGGAGCTTGTAGTGAGCCGAGATTGCGCCACTGCACTCCAGCCTGGGCGACAGAGCAAGACTCCGTCTCAAAAAAAAAAAAAAAAAAAAAAAAAAAAAAAAAAAAATTCAGGTCCCATCATTTTAGTGCATGTACTCTCAACGGCCTTGGCTCCCTCTCCCTCCTTTCTCCCAGCCAGGAAAAACCCCAACTCTCCACCTACTCTGGAACTCCTCTTGAGCAAGTGAATTTGACTGGAAAAAACAAACGAGCATGCTAACATGACTCATTTTAATGATCATAAACATCAAGCCGACCTTTGGTGCTGCTGAGCAACGCTCCCACATTTCCGTGGTCAAATCACTCACCCACTCTTTGGGGGGCTGTTCACACCTTCCTTCTCAAAACTCCTACACAATCTCTGCTTGCCTGCCAACTCTCACTTCTCGTCGAATAGAAAATAACAATTTGAAGAGCTCTTGCCTTTGGCCTCACCACACAATCTATTGCCAATCAGTATTTTGCCTTTTCTCTCGTGACAACGGGGGAACTGGCTTTGGGCTTTTTCTCTGTCTATCCTCGCTTTCTAATTTAGTACCCACACACAAGTCCCCTCTTCATTTGGTTGTCTAGCCTGAGCTTCCTTATAGGAAGGCATCAGAATTTCAAGAGAGTGAACGTGGAAGCTTCAGGTTTCGTAAGGCCTGGATGCCCACTGCACATTACTTCTGCCACAATTGATTGATGAAAACAAGTCATAAGGCAAGTTCAGATTCAAGAGGTAGGAAAATAGAGGAGTGTAAAATACTGTGGCCATGACTTCCAATTCGCCACAACTTTGGGATGACTGATTAAATGTAAAAGGACTGTTACCAGTGGAAAGCATGTTTTCAAGTGAATTTAGATTTATTAACCACCCAATGCCATCACCCTCTAAAACCATTGAAAGTGCCCAGAAAGTTTTCTAAAGGATCTACACCAAAAGCCTATAGCCTTGTCCACATTCTCCCTTATTTATTCATTCATTATTGAATTATTATTTACTGAATGCCCACTCTGCACAAGACATTAAGCCTACACACCTAGGACCCAATTGTCGAGCAAGAGACAATGCCTGCCCTCATTGCATTCGTGATCTATGAGAGGATACAATATTTAACTTAATTTTATTTTGGCATCAACAAAGAAAGAATGGGGGAAAAAAAACCCATGATAGTGACATAGCAGTTATTAAGAAATACTTTTTAGGCACGTGGTAAGGGTAAAAGTTCTCAGTGGAAATTTTCCTGTTATAAGAAATAACCCCTGAACCATTTCTGTTTTAACAGAAAAGGCAGCTTGAAGGGCCAGTCCCACAAGCTTTGATATGCAAATGTAAGCCATTAGAAACTGGGTTCACTCAACATGGCAATTCCCGTCATCTCTTCCTTGTCATCATTGTCATCAGGTGTAGCAAGTGTCTCGTGGCCACCTCCAGATAACACCATGTGTTCAAAACATAACGGTGACCCACATTTGCATATTAAAGGGCTAAGGTGGGAGGGCCAGGTTTTTCGAGAGCTGTGTAAATGACACACCTGGTCAAACCAATCGCCTGCACCCTACGCAAACCAGACACCGCCTCCTCCAGGATCCCAATATAAGCAACCACTTTTCCAGTGCACACTGAGTTTTCTCTTTGTTTGAATCCTCCCTATCTCTGTCTCTATATGGAGGAACTGTTTTCTTCTTCCTTCCTTCTTTCTTGCCTGTTAAACTTTTTGCTCCTTAAAACTACTTCACGTGTCCGTGTTGTTAATCCTATCAGCATGAGACCAAGAACCCTGGTGTTTCTCCAGTCACTGGAGCTATATCAATAGCCAATGGTGTTCAAGGGTTCTATGTTTCAAAGAACCCTTGACCAAGGAAGCCGTGATAAGTGTGTGCTAACCTGCATTCACAGTAAAGGGGAGAAGAAGAGGGAGAATGGGCACAGTAAAGGTGTGATACAAATGTCCCCATTTTCTTCCCCCCCCTTCTCTTCCTACGATAAAATTGAAGTGGGAGTTGAGCAAGGGGAATTTAAACTGAGAAGCCCGCTTAGAAGAGCTGAGAATGCAAAGCATGGACCAAATGATGATAGACTAAGACATGTAGTTTTCCAAGCTAGATTCGATAGTGTAACTCAAGCCTTGGTGACCCATAAACGTAATTCTTGTTATCACAGCAGGCAAGGGGAATTTAAACTGAGAAGCCCGCTTAGAAGAGCTGAGAATGCAAAGCATGGACCAAATGATGATAGACTAAGACATGTAGTTTTCCAAGCTAGATTCGATAGTGTAACTCAAGCCTTGGTGACCCATAAACGTAATTCTTGTTATCACAGCAGCTACCACCAGAACTTCAGCAAAAGTTGTCTTTGTGACTTCAACTTACCTCTTGCCTCTTCTCCTAAGCCTCTTTAGGCACTTAATGTCTTCCCTCACCCACACCATCAACATACAGACTAGCTGGCTGCGGGCCCAAGTGACTCCATCTGAGCCAATCCCCTCCTCTAGTTCTAGAAACCCTTTTTTCTTTATTCCGCCTCAATAAAAATGTGCATTCCCGAGTGATCTACTTGTTTTGGATGTGACTAAAATGAATGACATCAAAGTGTGAATGAGGCTTCAAATAGAGCTTGCAAACCCCATTTCTTCTCTCATGGTGGGCTTAAGCCTCTGAGAGTTCTTTGAGCCTGCCGTCCCAGGTTCCTTGTCTACACAAACCTGCTTCCTTCCCCTAGCCTAGTCTGCTGCCAGGAAGCAAAATTCTTGGACCTGCCTCCCACAGCTGAATGTTCCAGTCAAATAAAAGGTCTTTGTCATTTCTTGGAGAGAGGGTTTGATTGGTCAAATGAGCTCTATTTCAAATCAGGAATCATAAATAAGGAAGCATAAGAGCTCCTATATCACTAAGTTTTGTTTGTTTGTTTAATTGCTAGTACCTTGACAGTGTTATTTTACTCTTTCCCCCCCACAAATATGCTGTTATGTTATACAAGAGATACACTTCTGAGACCTAGCCCAAGAGGTTAGCCATGAATCATGAAATTATTTCTCTGGGAAAATATCTTCTGAGTTATAAATAACAAATTTACAAAAACCCTTTGGAAAAAAGTCTGCTATCGTTTGACAGTTCCTTTCATCAGAATAGGATTTTAGAAGATTGTGCTTGGCTTTTGTTCCGATAAAACTAATAGAAGCCATTATGATCTGTATTTTTTTTTCCGGTTAAGTATTAATGAATGCACTGACTTTTAAAAATCACCACTGAATCTTTATGAGATTAATATGGAGAATTCATTCTCCAGATTCCTGTGTCCAGTGCCTGCTTAGCAGCTCCACATAGACATCTAAAATGTCACACGTAACTGTTCAAATCTGAGCTCCTGATGCTCCCACACCTGCTCTCCCTTCAGGCTCAGCCACGTGGGTTCATGGCAGCTTCACCCTCTCCTTGGCCAAACACTTGGAGTCATGCTCCTCTGCTCTTTCTCTCCACACCACATGCAATCTCTAGGAAATTCTGTAGACTTTGCCTCCAAAAAGTGCCCAGAGGCAACCGCATCTCCTCGTCTCCCTGTCCACAGCCACTGCGTGGTCTGTGAGTCGCCATTGTCTGTGACTGCACTCGCTGTCTGTGTTCAGAACCTGGCACAGTGTCACTTCCAGAGTAGAACCCAGTCAATTTCAGTGGAAAGTCCTGTGTCATGATGGAAGAAGAGGAAG